AAAACTTCATAATAATAGACTAGGCAGATTTTTCATTGTCGGAAAGTGATTTATAATGTTTATTTCACTTAAAGCCCCTCATTCGCCTTCTCCTTTTCTTTTCCTCCTCCTCCGTCCCTTCCTCCCCCCTTCCCGCTTTAATCCGCCACTCTGGAACATCAATTCTTTAGCGAAAAAGCAACGATATGAAACAGGGATACTTCGATTCGCGCCTCCGTCATAACGCTCGTCGCTGCAGACTCAAAATGCATGAGAGAATAAGCAGGAAGTGCCGAAGATGCGATTTTCAAGCACAGTTCCTGCGCTAAAATTTCTTGCAGCAGTTTAATAAGCAGCAAATATTCCAAGTATTCTTCCTCTTCGGATCGGCACAGTGACAGCAATACCGCTTTCGTACATTGCGAAATGTTATTTAAGCTAAGTGTGGAATTATTGGGCAGTGGGACGCTGTAAGCGGCACCATGGCTTTGCAGTCGGACAGGCCACTTTTCTGTTTGAGAAGACACCGACTTCTTCACAAGTAAAGCGACCAGTGAGGGTAGGCCGCGACCTGTAAAAACATCATTTTGAGAGGCTGTCCAGAAACCAATGCAGACCGTTCCTATTTTTTAAATTTTTTTTTTCCAAAACATAATTTTCGACAAAATTTGCACACACAAAAGATTAACATCAGTGAAGATATTAGCCGTTAAAGTAGCCGTTTCAACAAAAATAGCACTGAAAGCATGGAAGTTGAAACGGAATGTTCCTGTCTATCAAACTGCGTGCAGACCATTTCAAAAATCGGTTTCACTGCCTTGCGAAAACCAATATAAGTGGTTGAAAAAACAAAAAGTTAATATCTGAGATGCACAGGATCGAATATTCAAGAGGAAAAAAACCTGTCAAGTACAAGTCGGTATTCTTATTTGCGCTTGAAGCAATACAAGGAAACGATTCTTTCGAGACGTTCACACCATCAATGATTGCGCCACGTACGAAATAAGGCGCTGAAACCTACAACATAATCATTATTTATTGATTAAAAAAGTATTTGACAAAAAAAAACCTAAAAATTCCGAAAAATTACGTTGATGGAGAATTCAGCAAGGCGTCTGCTGAAGAGATTCTGCAACGAATATTGTAGAGCTGCCGGCGGTCCTACAAGATAGGCACTTGACGTTGATGGGTCTTCCTGAAAAACTGACAATTTGTTCGCTTCAATGCTTTAATGAGGACTACTACATCATCGTGTCCTTGCTCGTCATCCCTTGCAGCGAACCAATGCTTTTTCCAGTATACTCTATTCTGAATGCGGTGCGTCCACAAAACTCCGTACAGGAGTTACTGGATCCATCCAGCACCATGCATACCTCTCCACTGACGCGTAACAGCACTCAGCACAACTCGTTTTTCCAAAACGCTCACTTTTAATTTGCTGCCGCTCATTTTGGCCATCTAAGTCAGCCCAGCTATTTTTTCGAGCGCAAATGTGTCATATGCTGCAGGAGAGAATCC